TGTTAACATCTTGAATAGCTGTCGATTAATGGGTTTTTATTTGATATTTTGTATATTTTTGAAGAATACCTCATGTAGGATCCATAAATCAGTGCGATTTTGACTTAATTTACGACAAATCATGTTTAATTGCAGAATTCCCAAAGAAATATCACACTGCCATCAATCCTGAAGCAAATCAGAGAAGTTGCTGTTAACATGGAAACAAGAATCGTAGGAAAACACAGTGTCTCAATCAACTTATATATTTACGTATTTTTAAATATACTGCATACGTTGGAATATTTTGTAATAAACTTCCAATATATGGTACAGTATACTTACAGTTATATAGTTCTAATTATAAAATAGTGCTGCATGAAATACATTACTGATTTGATTCTATGAGGAGGATGAAGAGAAATAGATTCGGCTACTTCTTAAAAAAGAAACAAAGTTTGTGAGTGTGTGTTTTTTTTTCTCTCTCTACGAATCCAGAACTGCTTCGTTCACTAGTCAAATGAATAATAGAAGCTACAAGGAGACTGCAGGGGTTACAAGCGATTCAACGACAACATGATAAGGGATGCCTCTGCAAATTTAAACACGACTATTTCTGCAGCAGATTTAATTACAGGTACAATAAGAGAATTCAGTTTGATGGGATTGTGTCTGCCCACAATACACCAAGGCCAAGTGTATCTATTAAACTGAATTGAAGACAATATTGACCATAAATATATGATGAATATGTGACTAATATAAGACTTGAGGCAAAGCCTGAAACAGCCGAAGTGTATTAAGTCATTTTGTGACCTTTTTTATTTACCTTGTTTTTTATTTTAAAATGCTATATAAAGATATATAAAAATTAGTATTGGTGTGGCAATACTGCTGGTTCTTACTGTCTCAAAGGGAGCGTGTGCAGTCCTGTGCCTTCGTGGTGGACGCGGTCTGACGTGGGTCACATGACGCAGAGGTGAACCTTGTGTGGGCAGGGTGGACAGACCTTCCCATGATGCTGAGCGTGAAAGGGGAGCAGATATCTGAGGAGTGGACACTAAAGGTGAAGAGTTGGGGTCGTCACCTAAACCTGAAGGAGAGTGAAACACATCAAATTAATTATATGATATGCTGTTTAATTAATTGAATCAATCACAAATAATCATATACACTACATTACTGTGGCAGATAAAAGCACTGAATATGCAACAAAGTCAATATATTGTTTGATGTATTTATCAGTGCTATTTATAAAGGAATAGTTTATAGTAATAGTAATTTGTTGAAAATGTATACATCCTCAGGCCATCCAAAATGTGGATGAGTTTGTTTTTTCATCAGAACGGATTAAAAAAAAAATAGAATTACATCAATTGCTCACCAATATATTCTCTCCAGTGAATGGGTGCCGTCAGAATGAAAGTCCAAACAGCTAATAAAAACATCACAGTAAAACGCAAATAATGTAACTAATCCATAAGCCATGTGTTTTTAATAAACAAATCCATCATTAAGATGTTTTTAACTTCAAACCATTGTTTTCGGCTAAAATATGAGTCCTCTATCCATTATATTACTTTCTCCAGTGAAAAAGTGGTCTCATCAAGCACTGTTCACAAGCAAAAGCAGGGATGGGCTTTTTCACTGGAGGAAGCATTATTATGGATTATGGACTCATATTTTGGCCAGAAGCGAAAGTTTCAAGTTAAAATGCCTTAATGATAGAGTGTTTTTATCAGCTGTTTGAACTCTCATTCTGACGGCACTCATTCACTGCAGAGAATCCATCGGTGAGCGAGTGATGTAATCCTAAATTTCTCAAAAAAAATTTCTCATGTAGAAACAAACTCATCTACATCTTAGATGACCTGAGGGTGAGTAAATTTCCATCAAATTTTCATTTTTGAGTGAACTATTCTGTAAATTGTTTAATTGTCATGGAGCAAAATTAAGTGTATGCATTTTTAAAACTTTTTATTTGTATTTTTTTATTTTTACAATTAATTAAAAATTAAAAACACTAAATTAACATGATAAAATGACATACCTAATAAATGTTAAATAAGTTTTATAAATGAAATTGAGCTAAAAAATATGATATAAAGAATGAATGGGTTTTAACTGAAAAATGTATGCACAGTATAAGTATACATGACTTGAAAGCACTTGAATGAGTGCTCAACTAAAAAATTAATGATAGTCCTGGTTTCATCCTACATAACGTGCGTGTGACTCACTGAGTCTGTTGGACACGGGACGAATGCGTCTGGTCCTGGAGCTGCGTTTTTTAATGGCGATTGTGTCCTGTGTGCAGAACGATAGAAGTGACTGAGAACTGAGCAGATGACAAGACCGCTGAGTTACAAGAGATGACAGATACTGTGAATACCACCAAACACACAAATGAGTCAGTTGTGAGCGATTCATGTAACACACTCACTATGCTGATGCCAAAGTCATCCTCCACAACATCTAGTATGTCAGCATGTCTGTGTGTGCGCCTGGCTGTTCCCCCGTCTTCCAGCCGTCTCATCTGTGAAACCTGCCGGAGCTGTGATGACGAACAGATGCGTGAGGAAGAGCGATGCTTGTTCACGTGTTCAGAATGTACAGACGAATGGAGAGAGAAATTCGTTTGTAGTACCAGGGTTTTGTGTGTGGCATAAAGCTCCTGTAGGATCTGGTCCACTATGGAGTTAGTGAGATATGAGACCACAGACAGCTTGACCTCCCTAAGAGTGAGAGAGATGGGAGACAGAAAACAACATGTTAGAGCATGTTAAAATCATGCTGGGAGTTCCAAGTGTGAATACAGTGGCTACAGAAAAGTAGGTTTGTATTTCCATTAAAGACTTCATGATTTTGATCGACAGGTGCATCACACGGATCATTAGTTTGGACAAAATGTAGATACACCCATGATACGAGGTGACTCAATATCAAGCAAGAATCTAAATCAAGGGGTCTTTGAAGGATTTAAACTAATCTAAATAAAATAAATAATGTCAATTTATTCAACTAACCCTAACCTAAGAGTAATACTAATAATACTAATAATATTTTAATTAGAGTTAGCTGACGTGGTTGCAAAGTTACATTACGTTAGTATAACGTTTAAAGTGGACTATTGAAAGTGAAGTGTAACCAAAAAGGGAAAATAAAATAAGCCTTTAATGTGTTGTTTGTTACATTATTTATACAGTGGGTATAGAAAAGAATCTCCCCTTTAAAATAATGACATTTTGTTGCTTTGCAGCCTGTACATGTACTTTTTTCTATGATAGCGACCAATTGCATTCCGTGATATTACTGTAAAATCAGTCATGTGTTACACACATTTTAGTTACAGACTTTATTCAATTTCTTGAGTTTACACCAATATACCAAAAAGGCAAGCTCCACCACAGATTACACTAAGTGTGCAAAACCGTTTTGGAGATTTCTGTCATTACGCATTCAAGTAGACAGCGGTTTTGAAAGCTGCTGCCTGGGGCATTATAAAGATGGCCGCCGACTGAACTGACTTCAAAAAAGGACTTTGGTATAATTCTCAAAGTATTCATTTCAGAAACATCAACAACTCAACACCCTCCTTTCTTACTCCAGAGCTCTGTTGATGTCCTGAGCTGCTCTCTCCATCAGAGCAGTGCGGATGGACGAACGAGGGATGGACACTCGCTCAGAGATGGAGGAGAGGGGAGGAGAGAGACACTCTGCTGCGGCACAAGAAAGCGGACACAGCTCCCGGCACAGAGACACCATGGAGTCCACAATGACCTGCACAAATCAACCATCAGTCATCCATCACGCCTTTCAAGTCCATCAGAACAAAAAAAGCAGATATAAATCAGGCTGAAGCACCTGTAGTTCTTTATCAGCTGCTTTGGCGAGTTCTCCAGCCAGAGAGTCCAGCCTCTGTCTCACCGGACCGTCCACTGACAGCACGTGGGCCAGTTCACACAGCGAGGGGTACAGCTAGAGGACAGTGCAGACATAATTCACACACCAGTCATGATCTCTCACACTCTCTCACTGACCGCTATGAGGATTCTGTTACATAAAACTCATGCAGGTGATTTGTCTTTAACCTTTAATGCTCACTCATAAAAGCGATAGTAGTGGAGCTTGAAAGTTTCTTAAATTAATAAACAGAAAACACTTGAAATCAATAACGGAGTCACTCGAACATCTGCACTTAGCACATAGCACATAAATAACACCTGACTGAATATTACCATGTAGCCATCTGCATTGTATATTAAAAAGCATATGTTAAGCAAATATCAACATTATTGTGATTACAGACAAAATCCACAGGACTAAAATCTACTAGCAATGGTGTAAAGTAATATGTAGTATAGAATTTATGTAATTTAATATGCTGGTCAAAAGTTTATACATACTTCATGATCTTAAAAACCTTTTGTTTTAAATGTTAAATGCTATAAATCTGTGTATAAATTTAGCTATAAATACAAATTTGTTTTTTAGTAACTTTTTACAATATAGCTGAATTTGTTAACATTAGTTAATGCAATGAGCAATCCTTTTACAGCATTTATTAAACTAACAGTGTTACTTTCTACTTATGCTAATACATTTTAAATGTACATTTCAAGTTAAATTAACATTAGGGGATGTATTATTAAAGAACATGGATTAACAATGAACAATAGTATAATTTATAAATTAACATTTACCTACATTAATAAATCCTGAATGTTCAAAAAATGTTCATTGTAGTTCTTGAACCTTGTTGTAAACTATTATCTGAATAACTGAAATATTATTACAATTTATAATTGCTGCTTTCTATTTTAAAATGTAATTTATTCTTGTGATGACAAAAGCTGAATTTTCAGCAGTCTTTACTCCAGTCTTTATTTTTCTTCAGAAATCATTCTAACATGCTGATTTGGTGCTTAAGAAACATTTCTTATTACTATCAATATTGAAAAGAGTTGTGCTGTCCAGTATTTTTGTGGAAAGTGTGATACATTTTTTGATAAATTGAAAGCTCAAAGAACAGCATTTATTTGAAAATCTTTTGTAACATTATAAATGTCTTTACTGTCATTTTTTTATCAACTGAATGCATCCTTGCTGAATAAAAGTTATATTTGTGTTTCATAAGTTTGATGACTACTGCTGTGTGGAAAACAGTCATAATAAATAAAAAATAAAGAAGAGAGGTTGTGCATTTGACAGGTAAATACACAAACACACTCACAGCTCGAGAGTTCCTGGCTTCCTTGAGGACCTGTCTGGCAGCCTGTAGCTCTTCCCCTTCACCTGTTCCTCTCAACACACACACCTGCTGCTGCACGCGCACACACAGACGCTCCATCACCTGGGACAGCAGCAGGACAGAAAGAAAGAGACAGAGAGAGAAAGCAAGCAAGCGAGAGCAACAGAGAGAGAAGAGAGAGTGAGATCTCGGTGTGAGTTTGATTCAACAATACACAGTAAGATCAGTCAGAGTTCACATTAGCATGTGAAAGAGAAGCTCTCTCACAAACAACACATGTGTGTCATTTTTTTTAAGGTGAAAACTTTCTCTTATACTAGTTTGTGTAAAGACCAATATAAGCAATCTATTCACAGGTTAACCATCCAAAGAATGTAAACATAAACACTCTTAACTGCAATTTAGATAAATGGGAATGCTAATTGATAGAATTCGTCTCTTCAGGTACGCTACTAATCAAAAGTTTGGGGGTCTGTAATATTTTTTTAAAATGTTTTTGAAAGAAATCGCTCACCAAAGCTGCATTTATTTGATAAAAAATACAGTTGAAACAGTAATATTTTGAAATATTATTACAATTTAAAAGAACTGTTTTCTATTTTAATATATTTTAATTTTCATCAGTTATTATTCCAGTCTTCAGTGTCACATGATCCTTCAGAAATCATTCTAATTTGCTGATCTGGTGCTCAAGAAAAAAATTCTTACTATTATCAATGTTGAAAAAAGTTGTGCTGCTTAATATTTTTGTGGAAACTGTGATACATTCTTTCAGGATTCTTTTATGAATAGAAAAAAACAGCATTTATTGAAATATAAATCAGTTTTGTCCTTGCCAAATAAAAGTATTAAGTGATTAAAAAAAAAAATCTTACTTACCCCAAACTTTTAAATGGTAGCACATATTAGACCTAACAATCGTAGATAGGGTAAGTGTTCAGAAACACTTTTTAGATCATTTTGAACCTCCTAGTGGCACTGAAATAATGCACTACAACTTTAAAGTGCTAAAGAGAATTTAAATGGCATAATTATGCAATTCTGCTTCCACAAAAACCCCCAGAGTGCCATCTGCACCAGAAATATGTCTCTGACACTTCAGGGTTTTAGTTGAGTCCATTTTAAATCACATATTACAGGAAATGCATAGAACTGGCACTTGCAATTTAACCACCAATTAAACTCAATTCATCCGAACTGGCAGAACTGAAAAAGAACTGACCCAAACTCTGACCCATAACCAACATGATGAGGCAGTGGTCAGGAAGCGGTCTTTACCTGTTCTGCGGTACTAGTGACCAAGCCCTGATGCAACCGAAGCGCCTGTTTCTGAGAGAAACGCTGAGTCTGGTTATTCCTTAACAAAGCTCGCTGGATCTGAGAGAAACACAGGAAAGACAGAGAGAGGGAGAGAATATAATGAAAGTTAAATGTATTGTCTGCTGTGTCCCTCTCTCAGCGATGACCTTGTAAAAGTTTCACATCTCTGGGCTCATTAAACATGTGCATAAACATTTCACTGCCTTGGGACTGTTAATCTCAAAACAGCCGGACACACAGAGTTATGGATATTTAAAGGGGTCATATCATGGAAAAACAGATTTAGCTTGGTCTTTTGAAATAAATAAATCCCATCTACTAATATATCCAAGGATGTAACCAAGTATTTATGATTGTGGGGACTAAGGTCACTGAAAACTAATATTGATTGACTTAATATTTAAAGGTCACATATTTTACACCTTTCTGGAGTTTTATTTTAGATTTTGATGTCCTTAAGAATATATATTTGCGGTATAAGTACCAAAAACCATCTCAATATATTTTTACAGCTTCTTTCTCAGGAGCTCTGCTGAGAACAGGTCGATTTTGGCCTGTCTAATTAATATTCATGAGCCTCTCTTCTGATTGGCCTGTTGTTTTCTGAGTGACGCACGGCCAGGCCAACCACAGGTAACTAGGGTCAGCCGACGTCACAGCGCTAGCTGGAGGCAGCAAAACAAAGGGGAAACTGGAGGCGGCCCATTCAAACCAGCGCAGATTCGGCTACACATGAAGCTTAAAATATCATCTTGTTGTGATGTTGGGTGCCAGAATCTACGTAATACAGCCTCAAATTAGAAATTTGATCGCATATCTGCTGCCACTGCCAGACAAAAAACCGACGACAGCTGTGGTTAAACACGATAAATCGAGCAGACTGGACAGAAACGATCGTCAAAAATGCTCGCGTTTGCAGCGCACACTTCTTATCAGAAAAGGTTCAATAAAGTATTGTCTTTTGTTGTTATGGGCGCGTCTACAGATTCCTTGCCATATGTCTATGTTTCTTGCATCTCACGACTATGTCGTGTATGAAATAATGTCTGTGTGCATGTGTTTTGACAACTAAATTCTGTGACTGACCAATCAGAATCAAGCATTCCAGAGAGCCGCGTAATAAGAGCACAGTAACATATGACCACCCATATTAACACATTAATGCCTGCACTCAAAGAAAAAAAACAAGAAAAAAGCCCCTGTTTTAAAATGTCTGTTCTAAGGAGATGGTAAACTGAATAAAATGTACTTAAAAAAGGCTATTTAATATAAGGTACTGTTTAATATAATCAATGAAATTATATAAAAAGCAGGAAGATAGGAAAGCTAGTATGAATAGTGTGTAGTACAGTGCATTCTCTATATATTTGTTGTGCCATTTCTGGCAACTGTGTCTCTGTATAGCATTTTGAACAATCCCAGCATTACAAAGAAGTGGCTTAAGTTTACCTTTACCAATGCCCTTATAATTTCAATTGAATAGTTTGTGTGTCATGTTTCACCGCAGATCTTTTTGTGAACTCATCACTTGTCATGTAGTGCAGGTTTTGTAAAGAGGCTGTTATTTAAGGGTTGGGCAGTGGCACTTATCTTGGACTCTACAGCAAACATACAATCCATAAGCTGTTATTCATTTCACCTAAAAAAGATGGTCAATCAGAAACACAGGTCGTATGCATAGAGGTCTTCAATGTACAGAAGCATAAAAGCCTGTTTATTTCTATGGGTAAAGGGTAATGTTAAACTAAATGATGTCTGTTTTTGTGCAAAAATCTTGACTATCAATTATATGTGGAATAAAATAAAATATATAGCCTCTTCAAAATAAATGTTGAAGCATTCTTACCTTGGTTAGTGCCTGTTCTGTCCTTTCAGGGGCGCTACGGTATGCTTGTGTGACATCACTGAGTGGGATAGGCATGTACTGCAGAGTGAAGTTACTGAGGAGAGAGCAGAAGACCATCAAGAAGCAGGATAAAAGTTTCCCCCAAACATCGCAACACAAAAGAGAAGAATAAGTTCCAGGAAGCTGGAAAATGTTACACACCATCTATTTGTGTCACAGAAACAAGTTGTTTTTCTTGCTTTCATTCTATTTAACTTTTAACAGTGTAGTTTCTTTCAACACTTTTCAAAGCAATCTGCACTGAGAACAACTTTCTCACAATGATTACAGTCCACTGAATGCAAGTTCAAGTCTGCAAAAAAGTTTCTGCATTAAATAATATTAGTGTAGATCTCCAGGGATCAGAGGTGTTTCCAGAACAATGCTTTAATTGTGCATCACAGGCAGGTCAGAGAGGTGATGAAAGATTGTGCAATCACAGACAGCTTCATGTAGGCATGGACTGAAGTTCTTATTTTTTCCCAGTAACAGCATGCCGTGAATAAGTTTCCAAAGAGATGAGTGAGTCACTGCTCACATGGGTGAGTGTGCATGATATGAATGTTAGAGTGTGTGTGTCATACTGTTCAAGAGCTCGAGCCACATCTTGGAAACCCGTAGCATTTGTGTTATTCCGATCCCACGTCACACTCCTACAAGAAAGAAACAAACCATGACAATCTTATATTACTAAACCACTATGCATTATTTATTGTTAATAAATGCACCAGAAGGGAGTCTGCATGCATTTTGTACATTTTCTGCACTAATTTTAAGGAAAAATCTGAGGAATTCTGAGTATAGTCAAATGTGTTAAAAAAGAGAATAGAATTAGGGTCATTGTCAATATTGTTGATTGCTGAATCTGTTGATTGTAAAATTGAGGTTCAGTTCAGTTTTATTCCATAAAAGCTTATGGAAGTATATATTAACATCCACACATTATTAATTTACCTTTTGTTTTTTTAGTTTTTAATCATTGATATCATTATTAATTGCCTATTTTGTTCTATTTTGTTATAGAATACACTAATACTTAATCCCGGAAAGCAAAATGAACAAAAATAAATGCGTAAATGCATTCAAAAATAAACATAATCAATGCATAAATAAATGCATGCATGCATAAATTAATACATAAAAAATATAAATATGACTGAATGAATGAATGAATAAATAAAATAAATAAATAAATAATGTAATGTAAAAGTGGTCCCCCATATGAAGGGGACAAGAGCTTTTTTTATGCGTTTGACAATATATATATATATATATATATATATATATAATATTATATTAGGGGTGAAACGGTACACAGATGTCACGGTTTGGTACGTACCTCGGTTCGGGGGTCACGGTTCGATACGATTTTGATACAACAGGAAAAAAAAAATCTACTTTTTTTAATGTGTGAAACAAACCGTTTCGTATTATTTGATAGACTGGTTATAAAAAGACAGTGTTATAAAATCATAAAATTCAAGGGACATGTTTATCACCATATTTAAAAAAAATATCCATTTGCAAATTAGCTAAAACATTTCATAAAAAAAAGGCAAGTGCACAGGATGTAGAACGCCCTAAATTATGTGCGATCAGAATTTTGCAGAAATCTGCAAAGCTTTCTGTGGAAAAGTATATATCATTAGAAGATCTAGGGCCAAATTTAGCCAGCGCAAACCCTCTGTGAGATTTACTAAAGACATGCAGTGAAAAATTTGCATTGAAAGGAACATGGGCACAGTTAATTTTGCAACTGTCCTTACTTCATATGAATTTGTAGGAGCTTCCCTTTTAGACGCAAAATTTATGGGAGGAGAGTATTAAATGAATAATGCAAGATGATTTACTAAGGTTTGCTGTTTGCAATTTACTTATATTTGCGCCATTATTAATGCCACGCTTCATCCATTTTGCACCTGTGTTGTTAGTAGATTACCCACACCTAATTATCATCAACTTTGCTCATTTGTGACCATTTGTGACCCTCCACTAATTTGCGCTGCTCTTGGTAGACTGCATTGGTCATAATGGATATGATCTGGCTGCGTCTGTGTTCTTTAATTTGCACATTGTCATTAAATCACCCGCAGCATTTTCCACTCCCATCAGTGCTTTTATTGGTTTGCAGTCTCATGCTAATTCGCCCTGTTTAGTAAATCTGGCCCTAGTCCTTGACATGAAGTTAATAGTTGTCTTCTTGGTTAACAGGTACTATAATGTGCATGGGATGCTGTATGGACCAATCAGTATCTTGAACAATCTTTTTTGTAATTTATATTACAGTAAACCTGTTCTCCCTATGACAGAATACCTAAGTGTAGTGTTGATCTGCAGAGCTTTACTAAGCATCCTCGCTCCTGTGTCATAGAGCCCATTCCCACTCAAATCCACCTTCTTCAGGCAGGCGTTGCTGCCGAGGGCATTCACAAGCACCGTGCCCCTCGAACGCAGCCTGGAGTCAGCCAGAGACAAGCTCTGCAGGGCCTGTCAGGAAAGAGGAGCAGTGAGAGAAAAGAGTGTGTGTGTGTGTGTATGTGTGTGCGAGTTTGCAATGTCTGTGATCTGTAAAAACAGTGCTTAATAATTAGAGCTTTACTAAGCATCCTCGCTCCTGTGTCATAGAGCCCATTCCCACTCAAATCCACCTTCTTCAGGCAGGCGTTGCTGCCGAGGGCATTCACAAGCACCGTGCCCCTCGAACGCAGCCTGGAGTCAGCCAGAGACAAGCTCTGCAGGGCCTGTCAGGAAAGAGTAGCAGTGAGAGAGAGAGAGAGAGAGAGAGAGAGTGAGTATGTGTGTCTGAGTTTGCAATGTCTGTGATCTGTAAAAACAGTGCTTAATAATTCATCAAGCAAGGCGATATCTGCTGTGAGAGGACTATGTGCCCTGAAGGAGAGAGATTAGAAAGAAAAGAGAGAGAGTGAAGGAAGGACGGATGAATCACTAGTGCTGTAATACACTCAGCAGAATGTTAGAAAGATTTTGTACTCTTTGTGTGTGTGTGTGTTTGTGTGAATCCAGAAAGTGTGTAAGGTGGGTACAGGAAACAAAGCGTTATGTCCATGTGTATGTGTGTGTGTGTGTGTGTGCACTTATGAAACACTCACACACTCTTCCTCCTGCACAAGATGCACTAGTTTCTGCAGAACCTCATCCAGAACCCTGCAAGCACAGGAAATAGCAGGACTTACACACACACCTATAAACGCCATAAACTCCAAGATTAATGACACTTCACACACATCTCCCCAGTCCCTCCTCTGCCTCCCTGAGAGCCTCCTACTGTGTGCTCACATTCGGTTTGTGATTGCAGACGGTTTCACAGACTTTTCTAACCTGCTTACCTCAACTGCCTGTCTCAGAGTGGATATTTGTTGTATCTGTTAATCTGTGTACTCTACGTAAGCTCTATCAACATCTACTCTATGTCATGATGTTGATTATCACAGAACATAATTTCTAATAATCCCTCAAATCTGTGAAAACAAACATGTGACGCTTGCAGTAATGCATTTAGAATGGAAGCCTAAAAGGGAAGCAGGCAGAAGGAAAAAAAAAAGTGCTTGAAAATGAAAACTGAAAATGGTATGGTAAAATTGTGTAATTGTGTATCTGGAAAGTTAAAGTCAACCTTTCCCTTAGGGGGAAGTCGTGGCCTAATGGTTAGAGAGTCGGACTCATAACCCAAAGGTTGCGGGTTTGAGTCTCGTACCGGCAGGGATTGTAGGTGGGGGGAGTGAATGTACAGCGCTCTCTCCCACCTTCAATACCACGACTGAGGTGCCCTTGAGCAAGGCACCGAACCCCCAACTGCTCCCTGGGCGCCGCAGCAAAGAAATGGCTGCCCACTGCTCACTGTTCACGGTGTGTGTGTTCACTGCTGTGTGTGTGCACTTTGGATGGGATAAATGCAGAGCACTAATTCTGAGTATGGGTCACCATACTTGGCCACATGTCACGTCACTTTCAACTTGAGTTTAATGTTTTAAAAATTTATTACAAAAAACAAAATCCGATTTTGAGATGTAGGAACATGGAAAGGAGCTGACCTAACAGCCATAATGTACTGTTTACATGAATTAAACTCCACCCACAGGAATGACATCATTAACATATAATCAGAATAGAGCGAAAGAGTGACTGCCCTTTTTTCAGCAGTTTTAATTCTGAAAATATTTTTCAACTTGAGTTTAATGTTTTAAAAATGTATTACAAAAACAAAATCCGATTTTGAGATGTAGGAACATGGAAAGGAGCTGACCTAACAGCCATAATGTACTGTTTACATGAATTAAACTCCACCCACAGGAATGACATCATTAACATATAATCAGAATAGAGCGAAAGAGTGACTGCCCTTTTTTCAGCAGTTTTAATTCTGAAAATATTTTCTTATTTATTTTCTCCATAGGGATTTAAAAGAAGTTTTCAATAAAGACATCAAACAAACTATGAATCAAACAAACCAGCTCCAAGACAATGCCAACATTACAAACTTTGTTTTGAAGCAAAGAAATATTTGAAAATCAGAAAATGTCAATGTCAATGTCAACTTAAAAAACTTTTTTTTTTACCACAAATAACACCATGAATCACTGCAAACTGTTTTACAGTCATTTGTTAGTATAAAAGCAATTTATATGGCATATTTTGAAAAATGTCAATGTAATTTAGTCAATGTTGAATTATCAATATTAATGTTATCAATGTGAATTATCAATGTTGCTTCTTAACAGTTTTGTGGAAAATTATGTTGTTTTCTTTGAATACCAAAAAGTAAAAAAATCGTTTGTAACATAAATGTCTTTACTGTCACTTTTGATCAATTTAAAAGGGTCATATGATGCGATTTCAAGTTTTCCTTTCTCTTTGAAGTGTTACAAGCTGCTCGTGAATAGATAAGATCCCTAAAGTTGCAAAGACTAAAGTCTCAAACCCAAAGAGATATTCTTTATAAAAGTTAAGACTGGTCCACACCCTCCTAAAACGCCTCGTTTAAACACGCCCCCACATGTCTACGTCATGATGTGGGAAGATTTGCATAACACCGCCCAAATGTTCACGTAAAGAAAGAAGGCGTAACTTTATTGTTGCTCCCACGGCCGCCATGTTATGAAGACGCTGTGTGTTTCTTTGCGAAAGCAAAACTACTTTGTTTGGCCTTCCAAAAGAAGACACGACTAGAAATCAGTGGTTAAGTTGTATTTACAACGCTGTTCCAGAATAGTTCAACCCAAATATTCAGATGTGTGCAGCACATTTTATGGAGGACTGTTTCCTGATCCTGGGAGAGTAGACAACAATGCCGGCTGTTCTGACTCACAGACTGCAAGTACGTTTCCATATTTAAAGGATTTGCTACTGATGATTCAAACGTGAGTTTTGGGCAGTGTAGAGTAGCGCTTGTTCGCGTTTCAGAAAGGCGGGGCATAGAGGAGAAAAAATAATGTACAGTATGTGGAAAACAATGTCTTTTTTTAACCTTAAACCGCAGAAACACATTTCATTACACCAAATACACAAAATAATGTTCTTTTTAGCAACATCATATGACCCCTTTAATGCATCTTTGCTATTTCTTAAACTGATCTTTGAACTTTTGAATAGTAGTGTACATAAATATTTTCCAATAAACTAATATATATACGGTGGCCGAGAGAGCTCAATGCGCTGCAAATGAAAAAAACACATGCAAATATAAAAAACACCAGCAAATTAAGAAAACATCTTGTTGTACATTTGCAGCGTGTTTCTGTATTTGGTTGTGTTGTGAGTCTTTGCAGCACGTTTCTGTATTTGCAGCGCGTTTCTGTACTTGGTTGCACTGTGAGTATTTGCAGCATGTGTGTTGTCAAACTGATATATGATGTATGAATGATATATATATATATACACAGTATATATATATATATATATATATATATATACACACACACACACACACAGTATATATATTTAAGCCTTATATATAAGAAGCCTTTGAGTACATAGAGACAGACTCAGTTATACATTTTGTTTGCTGCAATTCTCTGATTGGTGGATGTTTCTTCTTAGGATTACATGTATTGTACTTCTGCATCTGGAATTTGTCTATTAAATATGATTTTTCTAAAATGCTATTGTAATTACGTTGACTGATGGCTTCAACAGAAACATATACCATCGATTTATAACTTCAGAGCCCATTGTAGTTTTGCTTTTAAAGTTTTATATTGTTAAAAATCTATTTTCACCATCCTAGAAAAAGTGTCCCTTTTCAAATTGACAATTTAGACCATTTAGACAGCTGAAATAATATTTTTACTGTAGAAGTCATGTTAGTGCTTTGACAAAGAGTTTCACATTTCCCGTTTGTCTGCAAGGCTTCCATTGTAAGTGCACAACTGTAAACACATTTTTAGTTTTTTGGTAATTGACGGCATGACACAGATGCTGCTGACAGAGATTAAAGATGTATCGAACCTTTAAGCAAGGCACTTATCTTCAAACTGCTTCAGGCAGCCTGGCCCCGCAGTCTAAATGCTTGTTTGTAAGTCACTTTGGATACACGCTTCTGCCAAACAAATAAATGTATACATATATCACTGTCTGCTCTGTGATGTTTGTCTCTCTCAGTCCGGGAACAAGTACCTGCCCTTGATGTTAAAGTTCTTGCCCAGCAGCAGGTGTTTGAGGGACGGGTGTCTGGAGAAGGCAGGAATGACACAGAGGAGATCAGCATCCAGCCCTGAAATGAACACAGAAAAGTACAGGCAGAGTCAATAGCGAATGAAGCAAATGCAACTGAGGGGAAAAAACAGGCTGAAGGTCGTGGGAGCAGACAAAAGCTTCCGTTCATTTATTCAGTTAGATGTCTCACCGTTGTCTGAGATGTCCAGTGTGCTGATGCAGGAGACTCTAGGGAACAGGTCCTGTATTATCCCTGCTCCAGCAGACCTGAGCTGAGAGTCAGACGAAAGGAGAGAATGAAAAAGAGATAGGGAAAGACAGGCACATGGGGTAGATAGAGAGAGTGAACACTCAAAGCCTCTAACATGTTTAATTTATACTAGCATGCACTCATATTCTTCCAATAGCTCAACTGAAAGAGTGTGGTGCTAGCAACACCAAGGTCATAGGTTCGATTCACAGGGAACTGATAAAATAGACCTTAATACATGGTTGCTTCTGCCAAATAAATACATTGTATGCATGTTTATATTTAAAGTATGGATGCTTGTTTCTGCCAAGGGATAGAAAGAAATAAAAAAGGTAATTGTGACTTTTTAGAGTATGGACAATTAATACACAGTTCTGAGTTTTTTTTTTTTTTTTTTCTCGCAAATCAGAATTGTGAGATATAGACAGAGAATTGCGAGGTGTTAACTCACAATTCTGAGAAGAATGGTCCAAACTGTGAGATATAAACTTGCAATTACCGTTTTTATGTTTTTATTTTGTAGTGGGGACAAAAAACAGAATTGCGAGATGTAAAGATATATACGAGATATATAATTATATATATTTCATTTTCTTAGGCTTCCATATTAAACAGCACTTTAAATCAGTTTTGGAATAGTTAGTTATTTTGAAACTGCTAGTTGTCACCTTTTTTTTTTTTTTGGTTACATACAGGCACATAAGGTATATTATGGATAAGATTGTTTTGCTATTCTAAAATAGCCCTAGCATTTTCGTCAAAAATAAAGTAGATCCAGAATGACTCATCCATTACAAATAGCTTTGCACATTTATCACTTTTTACAGTGCATACTGGACAAAGCAGCAATTTTGGACTAGGATTTAGGATTTATTATTCCTTACTTTTACAAAATAATTTTGCAGCCAGAACTTTATAATAGTTATATCAAGAAAAGTATATCACTGAAAATGTTACAAAAAGGCTCCTGAACAGTTACACCGTTAATTTGAAGGAAAAACTATGTGGGGTAAGTTGTCACAATGGAACCTGCCGTTACATTTGATGCATTTGGCAGACGCTTTTATCCAAAGCGACTTGCACTGCATTCAAGATACATATTCATAATTTGTTTTATTAAAATATTTATTAGGCAAAATTAAAACAATTTATGAAACAACAAACATGTAAAAAGTAACACCCCAAAAAATTACCATTAAAAATTATTTTATAAAATATAAATCCCTGACCTGAAACCAATATACAAAATATACTGATATAGAGAATAAGCATTTGTGTAAAAAACCTAGTTGCTCATACAAAGTTCTATATGTAATTATTTTCAAATCCACAGTTCAGAGATTTGTGGAAAGCAGCTGTTAAAATAGTTTATGATTTGATTTCCGATAACGAATAAAATGATTTTGTGAGGTCAAAATAAGGCAATGGAGGCCCCACAGAGATAAACACGCATTGCACTCTCAAAAGAAACCTTGAAAGTATTTCTGTCTGACTAATTCTGTAGCCAAGATATCTGTACACACAGTAGAGTGACCACAGGCTGAAGGATTGAGGCTAGAGCGAACAGAGAGAAATACTCTGACAGACATTTATAGAGCTCAAGCCAGATTTAGATCCACAATGGGGGGGATGGAGTACCTCACAGCCGCTGATGTCCAGGTGTAGGTCAGTGATGTGAGGATTGGATGAAAGCCCAAGGAACAGAGCCCTGTGGAAGTGACAGTGAACAAACACAGGGACGTCGTCATTACTGACAGCATTACATGCCTCATTGAAGAGACTTAGCATTCTATTATGTGCTTCCATGGTTGATCTCCATAATAAATCAAATCATAAAAGGTCTATATGGACACCGTCAAAGCGTTACGCAGATCTTAAAGGATTAAGGGGAAAAGAGCTTAGAGATTAGTTCGACGACTCTGGTGAGGGCCGGTGCTGTTGACAGAAGAGAGCTAAAATCAGGTGTTTAGCTGGGTGTGACAGCCCGTCTTGCGCTCGGTTTGTGTTTGTGAGTCAGGAGGAGGTATGACCTTGTTTGAAATGCTTCATTTCAAAACATTCTGGCTTTCCCAAAATAGCAGCTGCTGCGTGATCATCTTGATGCTGACCTCAGTTAGGGGTGCAGAGCTCTAAAACTAGAAATGAATCCCCAGACAGTTCTTCTAGCAGGCTTTTAACACTTGAAATGGTTAACCCTTTAATGAATGCATCCAGACAGTATTTGCAGTTTGTGTTTCCTTTGAAGAGCACAATAGTTTTCTTTTTCGAACCCAACAGTTTATTTATTATGAGATGTCCATTTTATATTAATATATAATAAAAATAATAACAGCCTCGAATGATAGTAATAAAAATGGACTGTTTAACTGAGCATGTTTTCCAAAAATCATTACTAAAACATTACACTTTTTGGGGGGATGTGGTTGATTCTGTTCAGAAAGCCCTTCAAATCAATATAAAACATTAAAAAAATATGTGCCATTAAAAATTTACAAAAATGACTCCACATGCTCAGAGTGACTTCACTGCTGCCTACATGCTGAGATGAAAACTGTGTATTTTTGAAATCCGCAGTGATAACTAATGATTTTTGTGCTTAAAGAGATAGTTCACCCAAAAATGCAAGGCAAAGCAAATTTTATTTATAGAGCACAAATTTAACACAACTGTAGTTGATCCAAAGTACTTTACAATAAAAATAAATCAGAATTTTAAAAGAGAAAAAGAGGGTAGAAAAAAAGACATAAATAGAGATAAAAACCAAGTATCAAAATCAATCAACATCTACAGTATATTCATAGAACACAAACTATTGAAAGTACATTCACAGCATCACTCGAATGCTAGAGAAACTTCTGTCAACATCTACACTCAGAAGATAATTTGAGAAATGTTTTTTTTCTTTGGCCGTATAATGGAAGTCAATGGTCACCAAAACGGTTTGGTTACCAGCATTCTTCAAAATATCTTCTTTTGTGTTCACCAGAAGAAAGAAAGGCATACTGGTTTGACAGAATTTTCATTTTTGGGTGAACTACAGTATCTCTTAAACATACAGCACCTGAATGGTAGAGATAATGAATTGATACAGTACAGAACAGTATGACTCAAAATGTGCTTTACCAAATCCTGGGTTAACGTGACCTGAGTTATCATGTCATCTAGCTGAAAACAGCTTAAACCAGCCTAATGTGGTTAGCTTGTCTCCTATAATGTGAAAAGCTGGTTTGTTGGATTTAGAGAGGTTTTGATCACTTGTGAATTGATCAGACTAAGAGACCACCTGGCTAACAGGCTAAGCGCCAGCTAGGTCATGCTGGGAAACCAACTAAGCCAGATTAAACTAGCTAAGCCAGGGTTAAGTGCAGCACAAAAAGCCAAAACGGCGACTGGGCTCACCTCAGCACGTCGGGAGGCATCTTCATAGACGCCAGACTGATGTGAGTGAGGCTGAATGCTGAACTGAAGAACTGACGGAAGGAAGGAAGTGTCTCTCTCACTTTCCTAAAAGTGTGACAGACAAGAAGGGGAGACTTTTATCCATAACACATCATACCATACTTCACAAAGCCCTGAGCAATATGCCAGAACAAGGGCTCAAAGGGATACCCTCTGGCTTATTAGAAAAGAACTCGTTTGTATCTCTATTATGTGTTAAACATTTTAAAAACGTTCAACATTTTAACAAGTTGTCATTGGACCAAACAAACCATTATTTGGGTGGGACAGAACTAGATTGGGGAAAATGAGAAAAAGAGAGAGAGAGTGACAGTCAGTGAGGGATACTAGGGGGCTAAAAACATGACAGTTCATGATAACATTTTTGCGTTTGACAGTGACATTATCATTTAAGAGAGAGAGAGAGAGAGAGGGAAGAATGTGTGGTGTAAATGTGTTAACAAGAGCAGAGAGTGTTAAGGGAACATTCCCATTTAATATTCATGAGCTCTCTGTCTTATCAGCTCAAACAGAATTACATTGCTGTCTTCACATGGCACTGGCGTAACCAGATTCTCACACACACACACATGCCCACACACCTCACACGGAGGTGCCCATATGTGCAGTGGTTCTGTGTTTGGGTGTGCATGTTTCTGAGCACTTACGCTCACAAGTGCTCATAAAGCATACTAACATACTACTCTATAATATTGCTGCAGTATATACTATGTATACTGAGCACAATATGCAACGACAGGGCTCTAGACTCATTCTTCCCACCGGTTGTGCTGCATGGTGTGACTAACTTTCTTAGTTGGTCGCACCAGCACATGATTTGGGCGCACTTAGTTTTTTTTCTAAAACATGGGATTAATCTGTGCATGCTGATGAATAGTTTTTCCGTTATCATAGTTTATAGTTATATGGTAACAAATGTGGGATTAACATTCACTTTCACTTTTTAAGACTAAAACAAATGCTTCAAAGATGGATTCATTGTTATTCTTAATGAAAAGCACAACAACAATAAAACAGTAACCTACAATGACAAACTAGCATATATAACATTTATTAACAAAAATGAATAAGACGAGGTATAGCATATACCACATGCTGTATTATATATCGACTAATAAATTACAGAAAAGTTTAGCAAACACTGTGGAATCAGTTTAATAAAATTAAAAGAAGACTCTATAGTGTAACGTGAGGTAAACAGCAAAGACAACAGGCTTAAATTAAAAGAAGTCATTTAATTTATTTTTACATTTCGTTTGAAAACCGAATCCTCTATCTGCCACCATTTCCTAAATAATAATAAAAAATTTAAAAAATTGCAATGTTGATCTCTTCTTGACTCAATATTTATCCCTCTGCAAATTCAAACCCAATTAAGAACAAACACATTTGCAGGAGGTGCAAAGGATTAAGAAACCTCCAATCTGAACAATAAGTTCAGCCAAAATTAGCCTCATTTTTCAGAGAGTTTCTCATAATGCCGTTAACGTGCCAAGAGGGGAGATGGAATTGCTGTTCGGGTTCAGAGGGAGTCAGACAGGAAGATGGATCATTGTATTTCTGTATTTCTCCTCAGCCTACAGTTTCTTCTCGCATGCAGGCACATGCATGTTTACTTGCAATATCATAGACTTCTGTTGTAAAGCTAATTATAACTACTAGATCATTGTTAGAATAAGAAACATTGTTTACTTAATTTATAAGCTATTTTTCCAAATGTTTTGATTCAGCTCACTTTTGGAAACAATTTTGTCACACAAACATGTTTTCTTCTGATTCTGTTATAGTGGCTGTATTACCATCTGTGCAACATGCAGGTCCATCAGCTCTATCTGATCACTCATGTCCCAGTTTAACTCATATTGTATCTCTGCAGGCACTCTTCCCTGCTGGGAAACCCATTTAAAACCAGCCTCTGATGGTAGCTGAATCCAGCTGGTACAAGTTGATCTTTTATGCTTACTAACAAGTCCAAGCTGGTCTAGATGGTTGATCAGAAAAAGTATGAGTAGACCTGATTTGTTTTGCAGATTTGATTTGTTAGCTAGTCTAAGCTGGTTAGAGCTTTGACAAATGACAAATCTCATTCTGCACAAGAGTTATTTTAGTATCATTGAGATACTATTATAGTTTTTATTTTTATATTTTCTGTTTTCATTTTCATTTTAGTTAAAGTTTTAGTAATGTTGTTGTGTGTTTGTCATATTTATTAGTTCTTTTTTATATTCTATATATATATATATATATATATATATATAATTTCAGTTTTAGCTATTTAAGTGCATCATGAAAATGAGAAATATTGTCTTGGCAACTTATATACTTATATAATACTTATAAAACTTATATAATAATGAAATAAAATAATTTTTAACTGAAATAAAATATCATAAACATTACATTTATTTTATTTCAGTTAAAATTTATTTTATTTCATTATTTAAGTAACAATTTTTTAATGGTTATAGATATACAGGTGCATCTCAATAAATTAGAATGTCATGGAAAAGTTCATTTATTTCAGTAATTGGAAAACAGAGAGGAAAAAACAGAGAGCGAGGGAAGGAGAGTGGCAGCAAAAGAATGACGAACATTAGTATAATTCTGCAATTTAGGACCATTAAATGTGACAGAAATATCAATATGAAATCAGAGACAAATTGTTGCCTCGCATCCCGGGTGCAATGACATAAATCATGGTGAGTAAAAAGCAGTCTGGCAATAACAAATTCAGAAGGATGAGACACACTGTCAACTCACAGAGTCTACGGTACAGTCAGTGCCTGACAGGTCCAAATGCACCAGGCAGTTCGGCTGTGCCAGGAACAGGTACAGATTCTACAATGAGGAAGAGTATTGAGGCTGTTAATAGTGATGTGTATTCGTGTATTGTGTTCGGTCCATGTACTTTTGGATCCATTCATTTTTCCTTTTTTAACCCAGAAATGAAATACGGAAAATGCGTTTTTTTTATTTATTGAATAAGCAGACAAACTCATTTTCATTATTCAAATTATTTCATTAAAAATCATGAAAATGATATACAGCTTGTTTTTTTTAATGTATATAAATGCTAAATTTAATTTCTAGCTTTTTAAGCGTCTCTATATATACGCTAAAAGCGTCCTCTAGCGCTACCGACTTGGCTACCGGTAACCCATTGCTTTATGAAAAACCTCTGGCGTCAATGTATGATATAGTCATTACATATTTAATTCTTTGCATTTAATCAGCTGTTTGTATCCAGGCACGGTTCTATGGGGGTGCTAGAGGTGCAAAGCACCCTCAAATGAAAGCAAGAGCACCCTCAGTTGAGGCTGTAAAAAAAATAGGATACTGGTGAAACACTCATTCAAGCACATATTTGAATTTGCACTCTAGAGCGCTTCAAATATTTCTATTTACAACGTGTTTTTGTAGCATTGATCAATGTAGCCAATCACAGACATATCTGTTTATTTCTTGAACGCAGTGGCCAATCAGAGGTGCTTTAATGCAGAATCCACTCACCGCTCAAAACGCTGCAGTTTTATTCAGTGCTGAATGATACAAGCTCGCAAATCCTCTCATTATAACAAACAAAGTGCAGACATGATGTAAGTAAGATAATAATTGTGGAGTGTAAAGAGATTCATTGACTATAATGGAAATTTGTGAGATTCCGATAAACTGAAATGAGTGACAGCTTTGTAATTATTATAAAGGGAGCACTCTTTGCGTGCTTTCTTGGCTATAGTCCATTTATCATTTGAATAAGTTTTGTTTTTCAGGGCATGGGGCGAAAATATGTCAAAATAGATGTGCATTAAAGGCACAATATGTAATTTTCGCCGCTGGAGGGCGCGTATTCAAAATAAACAAATAGACAAAGGTGTAGTTTGATGACGCCGTGACTGAGTGTGGAATCATGGGAGTTGTCGTCTTCATCTCCACAGCCGATGCAATCTGACGGGACTCGGGCAGAAATCATGTTCATGGATGAGCTAATGATTTATTAACGTAGTAGAATGAAGCAGGGTGAGGCTGAAAGCTGTCGAAGCGAAACGAGGCCGCTGAACGAGCGTGACACATGGCTCGAAAGCAGCGGAGCTTTTATTATGCCACAGTCGACCGCTTTCGCTCCTTCCGGTCGTGCGTATGTGGGGAAAAAAAGCAGCACTGTTTTATCATACTAGATACGTTTGAAAGTTCTGTTATAATGCTACTCTGTGCGGTCGTCACCGGGCTATTAAAACGCACAACATATTAAAGCGTGTTTGGTGTTTCCATATTTTCTACAAAACAAAACCAGAAATCGAGGGTGTATGACGTCATTAGCAGGCGACACAATGACACTATGGAAACGGTCCATGTCACTAGTTAAAATTGCTTATTTCTCTGGATTTAAACATTCTTCGAAACATTTGGGATAATGTAAGTACACAAGTCAGCAAAATATATAACACTGTTCTAGTGGTTTTTGGATATTTTAATTAAAAAAAATTGGTGACTTGTAACTTGTAATGGAGTAATTTTCATTGTAATGTATATGTACTTTTACTCAAGTATGGTTTTCAGGTACTCTTTACACCTCTGCAATCCACTGCTAATACTGCTAATATTTTATTAGACTACAGTAAAAGGTACAAGCGGTAATTGTTTTTCGCTGGGTGTTTACGAGGTTTACGAGAATTTCATAACATAACATATATTTTATATATATGAAATAAAAGTTCCCATACCCAGATTTGACATTTAAGGCTAATTGTTGAAAGCAATGTATAGTACAGTGTTAGTATAGTGACCGCATTTCTCTTGGACATCGCATTTCTATTAGCCCTTCATGAAGTTGGGACAGGATTCTGCAATGTCTATTTTTTAAAATCATACTTTAAATAGCCATTTATTACATTTATTACTTGTAGAGACGGTTCTAGTTCTCAATCGAACGTGGGGGAGAAGCATTACTTCTAATTTGGCTAATTTGGCCTTGTAAGATAAAAAAAATTTCTATATTAATTTGTGCATTTTGAAAATATTTATTAAAGGTGCAAAAAAAAATCATTGTCGTGGCATTTTTCTTTTCCCAATAAAGGTATGAGACAAAAGTCTTTTGAATATGTATTTTCTTACAAGAAAAGGTGACAGTCATACAGCCATTACAGTCATGGCTGCAGAGTGCGACCCCCAATAACACTCTGACTCAGTATTTATATACTAATCAAACCAGGATGCTTCTATCTCATCCAATCATAATGCATATTCAACATACAATGTGTCCATTTAAGGTATCCAACCATGTCCACTAGATGCGTTTCTAAGTATTTAATGCAAATCGTTTTCTAAGAAGCCAGGATGTCTAAGAAGCTAAAATAACATTTCTGTCTCACACTTGTCTCGCACATAAACATCA